GCCTGCACGCCAATCCCGGCCCCAAGGCGGCCCAGGCGCGCTACACGTCGCCCAAGGGTAACAAGTACGTGGTCTTCTACCTGGACCTCTCCTTCATCTTCCTCCTAGAGCTGAAGCGCTGCAGCATGGCGCGCGGCTGCCTCCAGGGCGTCAAGTACCTCATGTTCGCCTTCAACCTGCTCTTCTGGGTGAGTGGCCGCGGGATGTCGGGGATCCGGGGTCGCCGCTTCGGCAGGGGTACGTGGGGGACACCCGGGACGTGGACTGGGAGGCGTGCCTGGGGGTCGCCGCTCCCTCTGCGGGCCAGGGCTGGATCGGCCCCTGGGGAGGGTTTCCGGTACCTCTGGGGTCCGCCCCGGCCTCTGCACTCTGGGCGGCCGCCCCGCATCCTCTCCCTGCTCCGTCTCTTCCTGAGACCAGGCGCGTCCCGCACCTGCCGCAGGATCGCCTCAGGCCCCGCGCCTGGCCTCTGCCGGGTTTAAGTCCCTGTCGGTGCGCGGGGCCGCGGGTGCCTTCCCTCCGTCCCCTTCCTCCCTCTTCGTGGCTGCAGTGCTCGTCTCTTCTTGCCTCCCCTCCTCAGCAGACTGGCCTACCGGGCCCCAGGGACCACACTTAGGGAGGGGCTGAGGAGGGGAGCGCGGTGGGGCGGGAGAGGAGGGTGTGTGGGTGATTGCGCTGGTTGGGCCCGAGCCTGAGCAGGATGGTGGGCCAGCAGGAGAGGGGCCTGGCCTGTGCTGCCTCATCCAACGTGGGGGGGGCATCCATAACTTTTGCAGAGTTGGGTTGGGTTTGCTCAGATGAGGTGCCTGTGTTCAGGGTCAGAGGTGTTGGCGCTGCAGGGTTGTCCCCTCCCTGCAAGATTGAGAACAGAGGGTCCACCCGGTCCCGTAAGGGCAGAGAGGGTGCTGGGCTGGGGCTGGGGCAGGTGTCACACTTGGCTCCACTGGTCGCGCTGGGAGAAGGTTGGTGGAGACATGATGCCAAGGTCACACTCCCTGCTCAGTTGTTAATTCGTGATCGGACCCTCCTTCCACAACTGGGAGTAAGGGGGTGTGGCTTTAGCTCCTGCCTGGGCTCTGGGCCCCAGAAGAAGGCTGTCATTTGTAAGCTCATTTGCATGAGGTCCAGTTAAGGCCAAATGCTCAGAAAGCCCGTCTGCCTTTCTGCACCTCCCTTCCATCCTGGGCGCTGGCTTTCCTCTCCTCAGTTTGTTAAGGGGGGGTGTCCCTGGGAGGGGTGGCCAGCCTGGGAGGCTCCTGCCCTGATGCCCGTCTCCAGAAGGGGTCACCCGCAGGTTTTCTTCTCTGCAGGGGGCTCCTGGGAGGGGCAGGCCCCAGGCCAGAGTGGAGGGGTACGCGGGAGGCCAAGAGCCAGCAGCAGAGGCGGTGTGCAGCTGGAGCTCTGCCCAGGCATGAGAAGAGGGGACTGTCTTCTCTTGGTGGGGGACGTTGACCAAACGTAGGGGCACCAGTGTGGTTAGCACTGAGCGGCTGGCAGGGTAAGCATGCCCTTGGCAGTGTGACAGGAGAAGGCTGCAGGTGACAGTGTGACCAGAGCTGGCAGCCATGGGTGTGAGGGAGGTGAGCCGTGTTTGTGGCAGAGTGACAGGGGAATGGGCTGAGGGTGTGAGGGATGGTCCTACGTGGTGGCAGCACCTGCTTCTCCCCTTCCCTGCCCTCCTCAGTGACCTCTGCTTGCATGGAGGAGAAGGGGTCCCTCAACGTGGCCTGTGCTCTGAGAGAAGCCCACCCCAATGGGCTGTCTTTGCCCTGTGCACCCGCAGGAGCCCCCTGCCAGCTGCAGGGTGGACACGCTCCACTGATCCCCATTGTGGATGCTGTCCTCAGCCTAGGGAAGAAAAGTCAGGAAGCCCTCTGGGACTCTCCCCTGAGGAGAAAATCCAATTCTCTTTCATTATCCAATTAAATTTCCCAGCCAAGCCAACCGGGCCCCTGTACCAGCCTTGGCCCCTCCACGCCCCAGCTTCATGTCAGGGGAGTGCAGAGGCCTGCCAGTCAGAAAGTGGACCCATGGGAGATGTGCTGAGGCCAGGGGTGGGGAGAATGGCTGCAGGCTGGGCGCGACACTCACCCTGCTTTGTCCCTGTGCAGGTGCCAGCTGAGCCCTTCCTGCTGGGGACCAAGGCTGCAGGCAACAGGGTGGCGGCTAGAACATGCCTTCCCAGGGACGCTGGCTCCTTTGCTGCCTGGGGGCACTGGGCCCCCACAGGAGTGGTAGTTTTTGCCCCCAACTCCATTTCTCCCCGAGAGTGTCCTGCCTCAGCCTCCCCACTGTGTTTTTTAAGTAACCCCGTTATTGAAATTTATGTGGTATTTATTCACATACCACACAATTAACCCATTTGAAATGTGCAGTTCAGTGCTATTCACAGAGTTGTGCAACCATCACCAAAATAAATTTTAGGACATTTGATTCGAGTCATGAAAGGTTCACCATGGGCTCCGAGGTGGTGGTGGGGGAGCCAGTGGGCTGGAGACCCTCTCCCCCTCACCTGTGTCAGTCCTGACTCCACCCTCCAGGGATGGGCCGGCTCTGGCCATAATTGACTCCTCGTGCTCTGTTGGACAGGTCTCCCTGGGGGCTCCTGGCTGGAGTCCTGAGGGCAGGGCTGAGGCCTCCAGCCTTGGGTCCCAGTGGGGCCGGGAAATGTCAGTACCCATCTGTCCCAGGGTTGCTCTGCCCGTTCCTGGGTGGCCGGTGGGTCATGGACCCATCTCGGGAGGAACCAGGCCTGCTTGTTGTCACCAGTGCTTGGAGCTGGGGTGCCCTGAGAAGGGGAGCCAGGAGGGCGCAGGCGGGCGGCAGGGTCACTGGGGGAGGAGAGGCCCAGAGGGGCCGGCGCTGGGGTCTCTCCGAGCTCAGAGTGGCCAACTCCCAGAACTGCACCTGCCTCCTGCAGCGGACGGGCCCTCACAGGCAAGGGGCAGCCCCCCTGGGGGTGCAGCCTCCCTTCTCTGAGGTGTGCACAGGGGGTCAGCAGCTTAGGGCCAGGGTCCCTGGGGCAGGGTGTCTCCTGGGAGCCCCATGCTGGTGATTAGGGCTCTGTGCGGGGCCCAGGAGTGAGGGCCAGGGGCTGAGCAGCCCCTGGGAAGCGGCCGGGGTTGGGCAGAGGAGGGAGGCGCCTCCCTGCCCCTTCCTTGCTCTGGGTCAGGTGTTCAGGGCTCCCCCAGGGACAGTTACCGCAGCCCCAGATGTAGTCTGGTTGGTCTGGGGATGGTCCTGGGTGGAGGCAAGGCTGGGTTCAGAAACGGTGAGGGTACTTCTGGGGCTCTCCTGTTGCCAGGTGCCATGCCCAGCCCTAGCCATGCAGCCCAGGTCCTCCTGAATTTGGATGAGCCAGGGTGGGTGGGCAGCTGTGAAGGGAGGGGGGTCCCTGACCACCCTGGTCCAGGCAGGGGTCAGGATGCCACAGGACAGCTGTTCTGCATGAGTTCTGTCCTTGGGGCCAGCAGCTGGCTGACTGGACAGATGGGGACTCTGGGGCCTGGGGATGTAACCCCTCTGTGGTGGCAGCACTGGGACCCCTCCCCTGTTCCCCTCCCACCGTGCCCAGCCGTTGCCCTGCTGCAGTGCGGATGGCAGGGAAACAGTCCATTTCCCAATAATCAACTCCTATTAGGAGGTTGGTGGCTCCCCGGATGGGTTGGGGGTGGCAGGGGCTGGTCAGGGGGCTGTGGGCTCCGGCTGGCTCTGGTGCAGTCCTGGGTGGCCGTGTTTGGCCTGTCCACCCAGTGACCCAGACGGGCTCCGTGGGGCCCCTGTGTCAACCTGCTGGGAGGGAGGGTGAGGGGAGAGTCATGGCCTCTGTATGGGCAGAACCACCTTCCAGACACAAAGCGGAGGCAGAGAGAGCTGCAGGCAGGGTGGGAGTTCTGTCTGGGGCAGAGAGGGGACAGGAAGCAGTGCAGAGGCCAGAAGGCCTGAGTGGGCAGAGGGGGCCGGGGTCCCAGCCCCACCCCCCACCCTAGGCCCTGTCCCCCGTTCAGTTCCCCAGCCCCTGTGCAGGGCAGACCTGGTTTCTGGTGCAGGGGACACATTCTGCCGTGCATGAGCTTCGTGACCATGGGCCCCCTCCCTGCCCCCGTGCCTGCTCTTGGCTGGGAGTGGGGTGTTGCCCGCCGTGCCCAGCCCCACCCTGAGGCTGCGTTGGCTGCCGGGTGCTGGGCTGCTGGACACAAGCTTGGCCCCTGTGGGCACGCAGCCCTCCACCCCCTTGCAAGGACATGGCCAGCTGCCCGGCCATCTGCCACACTGAGCCATGTGGCCGGAGGGGCAGCAGTAGAGCACCGGCTGGCATCCACCTGCCATGGGCCTGGAGGGGGACAGCATCACTAGCCTAGTGGTCCCCACCTGCCCTAGGCCAACCTGAAAAATACCTGGGCAAGGAAAGAGATGTCAGGAAGTGAGGAACACGCGCCAGGTGCTGGGCTGGGGCTGGGGGCAGGCGAGGGCAGTGGAGGACAGGGTGTGCCCTCAAGGTGTGTGCCAGGGAGACAGGCCACAGCTGACTGTGGGACTAGGGTGGGAGACCCCAGTGAGGGGGCTGGCTCCTCTCCCAGGCTGTCGTGGGGTCGAGGTCTTCTTCTTGGCCCCACCTGGGCTTCTGTCTGGCCCAGGCAGTGATGAGTGGGGCTGGGGAGGTGCAGGGTAGGCATCATCAGGGTGGGGTGGGACCCCGGCCCCCGGCCCCCACTGCTGATGCCCTGGCCACCTGTCCTGGGAGAGACCTCGACCCTGCCTGTCCTGCGTTGACGTGCCGTCTAACGTGGCCCACTTTCTCCTGTACTTGGAGGCTGTAATTTTCTTGCCAAAATGTTTTAAAAGCTGCGTACACAGAAACGTCTTCAAAACTACGGATAATTGTGTTAACCATGTGCGCATCTCAGCACGTCTGTGTGGATGTGCCTGAAAGTGGCGGGGCCTGGGGGGTTTGGGGCATGTCTGTGACGTGTGTCCGTGTGGTGGGTGACACTGTGTGATGCTTAAGGGCGTCTGACAGCCTGGGCTGTGTGCCGCGTCCCAGTGTGTCATGGCACGCACCTGGGTGACAGCCAGTGGATGTCTCTCCTGCCACTTCGGGGTGGAGGTGAGTGTGTTTCCTGGAGTGTTAAATAAAGAAATGTTTCCACCAGGGCTGGGGGTGGGGCCCGGCCCCTCCAGGCCCCCCGACCCCTACAGCCACTCCGCCTGCAGTGTCCTCCCTGTGCACTTCCGTGCATCCCCACGGGGCGAGGGAGCTCAGAGGGGCTCACTTTCCTGCTGAAAGGAGCCATCCGCCTCTGTCCTTGAAGGCAGAGCCAGATGGGCAGGCTGTTGGGGTTTTAAGTAACAGTTCTCCCCGCTGCACCAGCATCTTCCCGCTGCTCAGGGGCAGCCCCACCCACCCCACCGTGGCCCCAGCCTAGATGTAACCTGGAGATGTAACCCTCCCAGGATGGCTCCCAGCGCCAGCCTTTCCCAGCATCCTTGGAGATCCCATGAGACCTGGGACAGCCCCTTGGCTCCTGGTTTCTCACCTGCAGGTTGGTGGGGAGAGGGCTGAATAAGCCAGCGCCTGTCCCAGCCTCTTTTATGCCCCATGGTCCACACCCCCTGGGCGGACATGGGGTGTCCAGAGGCACTGGTGGCCCAGCCTTGCTCCCTCTTGGCGGCCATGCCTGCAGTCAGCACTGTGGACAGCGCTGTCCCTGGCACCACGGGTGGGGCCTGCCCCACAGGGGGTAACGCCACCCCACAGGTGGGGGCACACACGTCTCCTGGCAGCACACACGTGCCCTGTCCTGGGGCTGTGCCAAGCCCAGCTCTGGTGAGGACGGACCCTCCTGGCACATCGCCTGCTGTCAGTGCCCTGGCTGGCCCCTGGCTTTCACACTCTGGCACACACCAGGCACACGCGCCCCCCACGCCCTTCACGGACCCGCAGGCCCCTACCCTGCTTTGCCCCGGGGAGGGGCTCAGACGGGCAGGATGAACAGGCCAGGGCAGGAGCCTCCGTGGGGGGCCTGGCGCAGCCTCAGCCAGCAGCAGCCAGAACAGGTGTGGCGTATAATTTTTAGACAGAAGCTCTCGTGTTTTGTGGACAGCACAAGGAGGGATAAGGTGGGGGACGGAGAGGAGCTGAGCTAACTGGCCCCCCATGGGGTAGGTGTGGGCATTCTAGCCTGGAGCTCTCCTGTCCACCTCAGCCAGCCCTGGGCAAGGCCGAGAGGGACCTCGGACACCAGCAGCAGACTTGGGCCAGAGCCCCTGGTGCCTGCCCACACCCCTGGGATCCTGAGGCTGCTCCTGCTCTTGGGCTGGGAGCTGTACCGCCCCCACCCCGTAACTGCAGTCTTCCGCCAGCCTGGCTTAATGCATGTGTGCTCCCCAGGGACTTAGTGAGAGTGGAGCAGCGGCCCCCACCCCTACCCCTGCAGCCAGGGCTGAACTGCTGGTGTGGGCAGGGCGAGTGAGTACATGTGCGGAGGGAGAAGCCCTCCTTAGGCAGGGGTTTCAGGGCCCATCAGGCCTGCCTAAGTCATGGGGTATCTACCAGGGTCCAGGCCAGCCTCAAGGAGGCTTCTGGGCCCCGGGGGTGCAGGGCCCCATGTCCTGTCCAGTCGGCGAGTGGTGTGGAGCCCCCAGGGCTGCCTGGCCTCCCCCGAGCCTGTCAGCCATCCGCCTCCAGCTGGTCTCTCAAAGCCTCGGTTGCCTCAGGACCCAGAACCGGCTAGCATTTGTAGGGAGCTGCCTGCCCCTAGCCTGTGCCCTGGACACCTTCTCCCGTTTTATCTCGGGATGACTCAGAGACCTCAGAGTCCTGGGGGGCCAGAGCCGCAGCCCCTCAGCTGCCCTGGCTCCACCCTGCTCCCCACCCCTAGGAGGTGGGCATCCCTTCCTCACGGAAGGCCGAGAGCCCGCCTTGGATTCACCACCGCCTGGCCTTCTCCCCTTCCTCATTTTAATTGATTTTTGTAGTAACAAGCAATTATGGAGCTCAATAAAAGCTGCAGTGGTGAAGGAGAGGTGGTGGCAAGGGCACGTGGGGGCTGCACTTCAGAAGGGATGGTTAGGGGAGGGCGTGTGGGGGCCCAGCCGGGGTGACGGGACAAGACGGGGAGTTCGGGGGGGCCGCCCGGGACGTGGCGGGACGCTCACCTGCTACTCTGCCGTCCCTCTCTCCCCGCCTGGGTCCCAGCTGGGAGGCTGCGGCATCCTGGGCGTTGGCATCTGGCTGGCCGCCACGCAGGGGAACTTCGCCACCCTGTCCTCCTCCTTCCCGTCCCTGTCGGCCGCCAACCTGCTCATTGTCACCGGCACCTTTGTGATGGCCATTGGCTTTGTGGGCTGCATCGGGGCCATCAAGGAGAACAGATGCCTCCTGCTCACTGTGAGTCAGGGCGGGGCGCTGGGGCCGGGCCGGGCGGGGCCCCCCTTCACAGGACACAGACACACAGGTGCCCGCACACCCACACGCATGCCAGGCAGGACCCCTTCAGCCGGTACGGGGCCCATGCTCTCTGACACCACCTCTCCCATGACCCCTCCCGGCTCCTGCCCCGGCCCTCTTGGCTCCCCAGGACCCTCTGTTCAGAGCTCCCAGCCCTCGCCTCAGCTTCGGAGGTGGATTTACAGGCAGGATGTTTCCATCCTGGGGAACATCAATCACAGGAGAAGGATAAAGGACCCCTGGGCCAGGCTATGCCTCTTAGTATGCCTGGCAGCGGCCTCTGGCGGCTGGCTCAAGCCTGAAATCACCTGCTTCATCTGGGGCCTCTGTCTGAGGAGCCCTTGCTGGGGAGGGGCCTCCCAGAGGGTGCGTCCCCTGTCTGTGCAGCTACCCAACGTGTCCAGTATATGCCCCAGATGTTCCCTTCAGGGCGGCGGGCAGGGGTGGAGCTGAGGCCCCCAACCCTGACCTTTCCCACGGGGTGACTTGGAGGTCAGAGGCTAGTGCTCCACTGCTCAGCCCGGCCAGGGCACCTGGGCTGAGGTCAAGGCTGTGACTTGAGGTACCACCACCCAGTGGGCCACTGTGCGGTCACAGGTGGGGGCTTCTCTAACTTGTTCCTGCCTGAGTGGGCAGTGGCCACCCCTGGCTGTCCTGAGGGATGGGACCTGGGGGTTGGGGGTCACTGCAGTCAGACCCACTCCCTGCAGGGGCCCCCTTGGGCATCGCTGCACCTGCCCGCCCAGCACAAGGACACGGGTCCGGAGCACACGTGTGTGCTCGAAGACGTGAGGCTGTGCCCAGAGGCCGGGCAAGACCCGACAGCCCCTGGCACAGAGACTGGAGGGCTCCGAGGGAGGTGGGGCAGCACGAGTGGGGCCTGCAGACCTGGATTGGGGGCTCGGGCTGAGGCTCGCGCCCCACCCTCTGGGGGCAGCTGGGGGCTGGGTCGCTGAGGCCGCCGGGTCCTCGCCCGCAGTTCTTCGTGCTGCTGCTGCTGGTGTTCCTGCTGGAGGCCACCGTCGCCATCCTCTTCTTCGCCTACACTGACAAGGTGCGGCTCCCCCACTTCGGGTGTGGGGGCTCCATCCTCACCACCATGAGGGCCACGGTGCACAGGCGACGAGGGGGCAGGGGCCCTAGCACGGCGTGGACCAACAATGGGACCCGGCCGTGCATCTAATTTTAACCGCAACCATTGGAGGCCGGGCCTGGAGGGAAACGCTGGGGCCCTGGAGGGCAGAGCAGTGTGAGCTCCCAGGTGGCCCCCAGGCTCAGCCCCCTGCTCCTGCTGACTTCAGCTGTGTATCAGTTGGATGGGGAAAATCTATCCCCCATGGATTTATTTCATTACTTATACCAGTGAGGGCTCATTTACAATATTCTGAGTTACACACTCCAGGACTGTTTTTCTTGCTCGTCTGTCTTAGTTTTGGTGGCGAGGAGCGCTCACTTGCTCCTGAGTGGAGGTGCACTGAAGGGGGTGCACCTCCTCTCTGGGGAGTCCCTGCCCCAGCCCTGGACTCGGCCATTTCTCCAAGGAGCCTGGTTCCTTTCCTGGAGGATGGTCTTAGGAACGAGGACCTCGGCCCTCTTGGCCGACAGCGGGGAGACGTGCGGGTCCTGACGGGTGTGGGCAGACGCAGCTGAGGGTTTCTGTACTGTCTCCCTCTGAACATAACTGACGGAGGTCGTGCTGATGTGTCTGACTCGAACCCCGGGCTCAGCACCACGGGTGGCCCAGGGAGACCAAGGGGCAAAGGCCTGAGCCTGCTCAGGGCTTCTGGGAGGGGGTGACTCCAGGAAGGGGGACAGAAGGCACGGGGTGGGGGCCTGGGCAGAGGTGGGGTCTGGACGAGGTAGGTGGAGCTGGCTGCAGGGTGGCCCCGCTGTCCTGCAGATCGACAGGTACGCGCAGCGGGACCTGAAGAGGGGCCTGCACCTATACGGCACCCCGGGCAACGTGGGCCTCACCAACGCCTGGAGCATCATCCAGACAGACGTGAGTCGGGGCGTGGCAGTGCCGGGCGTGGGCGGTGCCAGGGCGCGGCCAGGGGACAGTCCCAGCCCGCACTTCTTCCGCAGTTCCGCTGCTGCGGGGTCTCCAACTACACCGACTGGTTCGAGGTCTACAACGCCACGCGCGTGCCTGACTCCTGCTGTTTGGAGTTCAGCGAGAGCTGCGGGCTGCACGCGCCCGGCACCTGGTGGAAAGCGGTGAGGCTGTGCCCTTCCCCCGGCTCTGGCCCCGGGGACTTGAGGGTGGAGCGCCGGCCTCGCAGCCCCCTGTGACGCCTACTTTTCCTCCAGCCCTGTTACGAGACGGTGAAGATGTGGCTCCAGGAGAACCTGCTGGCCGTGGGTGTCTTCGGACTGTGCACAGCTCTGGTGCAGGTAGGGGGTGGGGCTGCCACCAGAACCGCTGGACCCACCCCAGCCCCCGCCTTCTTCCCCATGGCAAGTCCTGAATGTGGCAGCATCAGGGAAACCCATCTCCGGGGTGCAGACGGGGGTTGCAGCCAGAGCGGGCGGACAGCACCAAAGGTGCTGATTGCAGTTGGACTAACGGGCAGAGAGCGGCTGCTGGGGCCAGGCCCCTGGGCCCTGACGCCACCCGTGGAGGCCAGGGTGGGTGGCCAAACCTGAGGGGAAGGGGTCTGGGCTGAGCCCTAGGGTTACAGGCCATCCAGGCAATGGGGTGGGGTCAGGGTGCCTACTGCGGCAGGACCTCTCTGGGCTGTCATCCCTGGAGCAGCCCTGCCCAGCTGCCACCTGTCCCCACAGATCCTGGGGCTGACCTTCGCCATGACCATGTACTGCCAGGTGGTGAAGGCGGACACCTACCGTGCGTAGGCTGCGTGCTGCCTGCCATCCCTGCTTCGCTGCCAAAGGATGTTGCCCACTGGGGAGAGGACCACGTCCCCACCTGCCTCTCCCGTTGCAGGACTTCTCACCAGCTTGGGCATCAGGAGGGGAGCAGCAGGCAGCCAGACCCCCCCCAGGACTCCTAGCCAGGCCTGTGAACGTGATGCTGGATGGGGTGGCCGAGTCCTGGCCTGGGGCTGGGGTCGGGAGGGGCTTCTGGCACTTTTTACACCCAAGTATTCACCAGAGTAGTGTTTTCCCCAACAAACCCTGTCCAGGGCAGGCGGTTGGGGCCATGCACGGGTTGGGGTGGGAGGTGAGGGCTGACCGCTGGTCCTGGTGCTCGAGGCGGGGCCACAGCCCCGCCATCCACATTCCACAGCGGGGCCAGGGTAGGCTCTGGGTGCATCTTAATAAAGTATGTGGGCAGCAGCCCCCGACCCGTGTCTGTCACTGCCCAGACCCCTGTTACGGGCCTGGTGCCTGGAGTGGGGGTCCTGGACGTGGGTGGGCCTGGGGAGCTGCCCGGGCTGGACGGACGGGGGCTCCTGTGCCCGCAGAGGACGGCAGGAAAACCTTAGTGAGAGGAATCCAAGCAGTCAGAGAGGAGCCCTGAGCCTCCCTGACATCCCACTCCCCCGCCTTGGGGCCTCGCCCTCCCCCAGGGCTGTCCTCACCGAAGGGAGCTCAGCTCCATCTTTCCTGTAACTTCCTGTTCCTAGGGACTTGGCCCTGTGAGTGCTCCTCTCAAGATTTTGCAAATAAAGTAGGCTGTCGGGAGCGGAGCAGTCGTCACAGCCCAGTTAGAGAAGTGGGTAAGCTACGTCAAACCACCTCAGGCGGGATGAGGCTTCCTGAGGTCAGGACTGAGGGGGAGTGCAGAGGCCAATAGGTGTGGGGGCCCCTCCCAGGGGCCTCACTAGCTGTGGGGCATCTGACCCCCAAAACTGCACCCATAATCTGTTTCCAGCCCCTACTCCTGCTCGCCCCGCGGCCCCACCCGCTCGGTCACCCCGACCCCCTCTGCATCACTGCTGTTGTGCAGCGACCTGCCTGGTGATGCCCAGCCAAGTACCAACCAAGGCACCACCCAGCCCACCAGGACACCTGGCCCCTCCTGGCTCTTGGCCTCCTGTTGGCATCACACTCATCCCACTGACTCCACCTGTCCTCGTTCCACGGAAGCCACCAGAGGTCACACAGGGACTTAGGCTGACGTGGGCCCTCAATCCAGCCCTGACTCAGCTCCCCTCAGCCCCTGAGCTGCCTTGGTCCCGCTGGGACGTGCAGGGCCTGTTTCCTCCAGGGCCAGCCCTGCTGCCTGCTGCATGTGTCCTGGCCCAGGCTCCCCCTTTGCTGGTCCTCCATGTCTTCCGAACCCCAGGCCGGGGAGCCTCACGTGCGCCTGGCACGCCTCTCGCTCCATGTCCACTGACACTGACTCACGCTGTGGCCCCACTGCTGACTTTCCTCCCCCGTGTCCCCACTCCTGAGCAGACCTCCAGACACACCAGGTCCCAGCACTCACTCCCAGTGCAATGGCCTCTGCGCTCCCCTCCCACTCGGAGGGAACCAGCCCATGCTTTCAGCCCCGCCCTCTAGCCCACAGCCGGTGGGGGGGTGCCAAGGTGGGGTCTTGGGGAGATGGGCTGTGGCCCCACGTGCCAGTCGGCACACCAGCACACAGACCCCCATGCACACACAGGAACGCACACACCCACTCACAGCAGCTTCTGAGAGCCCCACTTCACCCCTCCTTCCATTCAAGCCCAACCCCACCTCACACGCCAGATCTGGGGGGCCAGGCCTGTCTCCCAGAACCAACAGGCCACCCTACCAACCCCAGCAGCAGGCCTAGGTGGGGACAGCCCTGGGGGGCCGCTGTGTGGGTCGGGAGAGGGCCCCATCGGACGTACCAGCCCGTGTACTCATCTGAAGCCCACACCGGCAGAAGCTTGGTGCCCAGGTGGGCTGCCTTCCCAGACAGACTGGTTTCTGCTGTGGAGCTGCGAGGTCAGACTTCCCGTCCACACCACGCGAGCAGCTCCTCGGGGCAACTCCTGAGGGCCCGGCCAGTCCTCGACCCCAGGGACAGCTGTGTGTCCCCTAAAGCCCTCCCCAAATTACGCCCCGTAGCAGTAGTGACTGTGGCCCCACGTGCTTCAGCTGTGCCCGAGCTCACGCCCGGCATCTGAGCAGCGAGCCCACAGGCGCAGTCAGCACGACCACAGGGGTTCATCTGCTGGGAACCAGTGGGCTCACTGAGGTTCCTCACTGGGGAGGGGTGAGGGCAGGCTCAGCTGCCCTTTGGCTCCAGGCAATCCCAGATTTTTTCCCAGGGTGTCCCACTGGGAGCATGGCTGCACCTGTGGGCAGCGGGCCTGCAGCAAGCTGTCACTCCACAGCGACCACACAGCTCATGGGCACCAATGGGCTCCCAGAGGGCCCGGGTCCCCTGGGGCAGAGCTGGCCCCCACGCACTCTACTTGTGGGGCCTGTCAGGCTCCTCTGCAGGCAGGCCAAGCCAGAGCCTGCAATGGGAGGCGGGCCCCTCTGCACTGCCCTGAGGAGATGCCCAAAGTCGGAGAGATGTGAACAGAGGCCTGGAGTCCTGGTGTGGGGGACCCTGGGATTGTCCTGGAGTCTCCAAACTCACAGCAAACCGCAGGCCAGTGGGACCCCCGGCCACCCTATGTGGTGGGGGCTCTGCTTCCTGCCCTCACCTGGCCGGGACTGCCCGCTCCACGTCACTGAAGGGGAGGCTGGGTCCCAGGACCTCTGTCCCCACCCGACGCCCACAGCATACAGAGCATGGAGAATGGAGAAGAGTCTGTATTTTGCACACCAGTCCTTCTGTCTCTTGGGAAAGCGCAGGTCGGCTCCAGACTGGGCCTACAGCAGGTCGTAGAAGTAGTCCAGGCCCTGGCCCAGCTCCCAGATGGACACCCCAACACCCAGCTCCCTGGCCAGCTCCAGCCGCACCTGCAAGGACTGAGGCAGAGGAAGCTCAGTCCCACCCCTTGTCCCTAGGCTGCCCCGGCCCCACCCGGCCCCGAAATGTGCCCAGGTCCGAGCCCACGCTGACCCCTGCTGCCCACCCCAGCCTGGCTGAGGCCAAGGCTGTCAGGGGAGGGGTGGTGCCGGCTGCCCGCACCCCCAGCGTGAAGGCCGGGCCCACACCCACCTTTAGTGTAGGGTAGAAGACGACGTGCCTCCCACCACGGCTTCTGCAAGAAAGCAGGACCCTTTGTCTGGCCGGCCTGATTCCCACCTGCCTCCCCTTCTCCCAGGCCCTCCTCCCCATCCAGCCAAGGTCGCAGGTCTGGCTAGAAAAGGCCCTCCCTGGTGCTACTCCTCAGGCCAGGCTGGCCCTGGGGGCAGAGGGGCTTGCGGCCTGGGACTCCCGGCTGGCCCACGCCTCACCCGGGCCCTCCTCCGGGACACTCACTTCTTGTACTCGAAGAAGTGCTCAGCGGCCTGGCTGTCCCACACGATCCGGGGCCTGTGCTCCTTCAGCAGCTGGATGTACCTGGGGGGGGGGCGTGTGGGTGCTGGAGCCCTTCCTGCCCGCCCCAACACCCAGACAGGGAGGAGGTGGCCTCTCCCGTCGCCAGCGGGGTGAGGCCGCCCAAGGGCAGCGGCACGTGGGGTGCTGGACGTCGATGGCCTATGGAGTGCCAGCAGCCGGTGGGAGGGCCACGTGTGCGGCCTGGACACGAGGAAATGCCAAGGAGCAGGGCCACGTGGGTCCTCGCTGGGGTAGGGGGAAGACAAAGACCCTGACAGATGGCCCCTGAGACACAAGCAGAGGCCGAGGCTGCGTTTCCAGGCTCACTGCCGTCCTGTGACTTGGCTGCACTAGAGCACCACGTGTGACGTGAGTCTCACCGCAGCACCTCCGCCCCACGCGGGCAGAGCGCGGGTGCCCGTGCTGCGGGCGCGGTGCCTGCTGGAGGGAGGGGGCTGCTTGCTGCTGCAGGAGAAGCAGCAACTTCTGAAACTGGTGGGGGGGTTGGGGGCAGGTGCAGGCCTCGAGGGTGAACGAGGCCTGGGGGCAGCTTCCTGAGGCCCCTTGGCACCCCGCACCCTAGCCCGTCTGGGGACAGCTGTCCAGGGCAGTGGTTTCCGGGCCCTTCCAGAGGCCAGGCTGCCCTGGGCCGGCCTTCCCTACTGGGGACACAGCTGCCCCAAGCCTGCAGTAGGCCTGGTCTTACTGCCAGGAGCCAAGGGTTCAAGAACACCCTGCCCTCAAACACACAGAGGGCTGGCTGGCTCCCAAGGTGCCCCACCGCCAGACAGCCAAGGTCCCTAGCGACGAGCTTCACTGAGCTCACCCAGGACCCCGAGCCCTGCTTTGCTGATGGGTGGTTGAGATTCCTGCCTCCACCAGGCTGTGCTGGGTGGAGGGGGGACACACAGCCCACTGGGCAGCTCCACTGGGCGAGTGGGTGGCTGGGCGGCTGTCCTGAGAGCCCACCCAGGCTCCTCTCAGAGCCCCTGCAGTTTGCAGCCAGGCCCAGGCACCAGGCCCAGCACAGGCCTCCCCTGGGCTTCAGTTTCTGTGGCGAGGGCTCTGACTCCCACCTTGCTGGGCCAGGGTGTGGCCCGCCCTCCCTGTGGCTGGCAGAGGGGGGACAGACGGGCCAGCCCTGCCAGGGGCACAGGAGGAAGTGGGTTTGGGAGGAGCAGCTGAAGCAGGCCGGGGGCCTTCCAGGAGGGGGACATTCTCCTCTGCTGCTGCCCGCAGGGTCTCTGCGGCCTGCACTGGGGAGACCCAGGCGCCCCACCCGCTGCCCGTGGCCCCAGCATCCCCTAAACACCCTACTGCCTCGAACCTGCAGCCCAAGAGGCCTGGGAGACGTCAGCCGTCCTCAGCAGGGCCGGCTGGGCAGAGGCCGCGGAGGGTTCTGGAGGGAGCCCCAGAGAGCCCACAAGGCCCAGACCGGCCAGACCCTGGCCTGTGATGAGGGCCTGAGGGTGAGGGGGCAGCCCCTTCAACCACGGTACGGGACAGCCGCACCTTTGATGAAAAAGGACACCGGCTGGGCCACACCGTAGCTGGAGGAGAGGGGAGACACTGACCCCGGGACAGAGCGTGGGGATGGGGACCAGAAGTCAGTGAGGGGCCGACGGAAAGCGTGGGGGTGCAGCCAATGACCAGGTGGGCTCACCTGCACCCCAGTCCAAAACCCCTGACCTCCCACTGGCCAGCGGAGCAGACTGGCCAGGCCTAACACTGTGTGGGACCCACGCAGCCAGTGGCCTCTCCTTCCTGTTTTTGCTGCAACCCGAGCCCCCTCACACCAAGCCCTAATCCAAGGCCCCTCCGGCAGGCGGTGGGCCCTGCCTGCAGCACCCCTGAAGCCTGTGTCCAGGGCTCCGTGTCCCCTTGGTGCTGGCCTTCCCAGATTGGGCCCGCAAAGGGCATGTGGAGGGGGCAGGGCCTTAGGCCCACACGGGGAGTCCAGTGGGCACCTCTGGGTGACGTGAGGAGGTGGCCCTCTTGGTGACCCTGGCTCACAAGTCCCCACCTGCTGGCAGCGGGACTCATCCTGAGCTGCACCTCAAGGAAAGCCTCCAACACAGGAGCAAGCAGACACCGCAGCAGAGGGTGTGCCAGGAAACCGTGCAGGGGCAGAGGACACCTGGAAGCCAACCCGGCACATGGGGACCCTGGGCCTGAGAAACCGGGGCAGGATGCTGGGAGAAGGCCCAGGGAAGGCTCAGGGATCAGACAGCAGAGCCCATACCCAGTAGAAGGAATGGAAGGCCACAGAGGAGGCCCAGAGGCATAGGAGCAGTCAGGCCGCAGTCCTGGGGCCAGTGCCTGCTTCAGCCGCTTCAAGGCAGAGAGACCACGGTGCAGGACGGCGGTGCTGGTAGAGCTTCCCCATGCCCGTGTGCCCTTGACCCCTGGAGTCCTGGCCCACCAAGAGGCTTCCGGGGGGTGGGGATGGTCTGCCAGGCACCGCCCACCCTTGGGGACCCATCTGGCTGAGTTCTGCTGGGCCTGGCTCTCACCGAGATCCCCAGGGAGGCCCCCTGGACTGGGGCAGGAGAGGCCAGGCGAGGTGGGGAGTGTGGACCCCAAAGGTGCAGGAGAGCAAGTGCCCACCTGGATTGAGGGCCCTCTTGGGGCTGGGCAGAGCATCCTGGCAGCCTCTCCGAAGAGGGGGCTTTGCAGCCACAGAACCCATGGATCAGCACCCAGACTTGCTCCACAGGGAACATGAGCCTGCAGGCTGCGGCGCCCCGGCCCCTCCTGGGGTGTTTCACAGTTGCCCAGACTCCTCAAAGTCAGAGAGCGACCAGGCCATGCACGCAGGAGCCTGGCTGTGGTCATGATGGGGTCTGCACGTCACCCAGGGTGGGTGAGCAGAGGCCGGTGGGAAGGGGGGACCTAGAACGTGTACAAACGACCTCTGAAGACCGACCCCACCGAGGCAGGCACAGACGGCCGGCCTCCTGCCCCCGCCTTCGGGCCCTGGCTCTGTGTGCTGGGGAGCAGACGGCGTGGTGGCTGAGGGGCTGGGACACCTGCCACAGAAGGCGCAGGTCTCCGCGCTGGAGAAGCTGAGAGAGAGGGCAGGTAAGCCTGGGCCAGGCTGGGCGGAGCCTCTGTCAGTGGTGAGCCCAAGCGGCCATGCAGTCATCGGCCCAGTCCCCTGCCCAGGGGACAGAGGCCATGCAGGGGGCTCCGTCCAGAAGTGGGGGAGCTGGACCTGGGTGACTGCGCCCACACCCTGTAGAGGCAGCCTGCCCCTCCCCTGGCAAACAGGTACCATCTGCAGGCAGCCTTGCTAAAGTCTTCCATTCGGTCCACCAGATCAAAAGAACCTGGCCCTGAGAGGGGAGGTTCTGCTGCCCAGCCATGCGAGAAGGCCCCTAACCATGACGCCCAGGGTCCCTGAGCCCCAACACCCTGAGCACGTGTGTCAACTCCCCTGTGCGCCAGGGGGATGGTCTAGAAGTCAGGCTGCAGGCAAAGGAGGTCAAATGCAACCCAAAGGGGCCAGCCGTGGGCCCTGCCTGCGGGGTTGCTCCAGTCCCCTGCCTGAGGCTCACGCAAGGGGCTGGTAGCAGGCGACAGATGGCAGACCAGGGCCCTGGAAGGAAGCGGCAGGGGTGGGGGCACTCAGGACAATGAAGCCTCAGAGTGAGCTCACGCTGGCGCCCTCCACCCCACTCTGTGTCCCCTCTGTGTGACAGATAACTGTCGATCAATGAGGCCTCTTCTCTGCCTGCAGCCCTTGCCCAGGGACAGTCCTGGGGGGATGTGACCCCTCCCTGGGCTCACGTCCCCACTTGCAGGGGACCGTTATCTCTGATCCCCCATGAGAGTGGGGTGGGGGCACCTCGGCCATGTGCGCCCCTGCAGGTGTGTCGGTGCTTCTACTGTCACACACCCGGGGAGGCACAGCAGGGGAGTCTGTGCTCTGCCTGCCCTCTCTTTAGCAGAGACCCTAAATGTGAATCAGGTCTTGTGGGGACCATGGGGGTGACCACACTGAGGGCCATGTGTGTGCCCCACACCTCCTCTGGTGCTCAAGCTTGACCCTCCTAGTAGGAGCAGCAGCCCTGCCTGCAGAGCCAGGACTTGGATGCCAGCCCCTGAGGCACCCCGCCCCACACCGCGGGCACCCAGATGCCCCTGCGCCCTGGAGGACGACCTCCTCCTGCCCACTGAGGTTAGGGAGCTGAGGAGTCCTGGGGGAGATCAAACCAGGCAGGAGGAGGGCCCTCAGAGGCACCTGCTCCTCCCCTGCACCTCTCTGCCCCCTCCTCAAAAGCCCCTGCGGAGTGGCGGGGCCTCTGACAGGACCACACAAGCTGGGTTAGGGGCTGCAACAACTCCACTTCATGAGCTACTGCTGGACCCACGTTTAGTGAGTGAATTACAGCTCTTCACTTCTCAGATACTGTTGGAGATGAATTCTGTCCCCTGATACCATACATTGGGGTCGTAACCCCAGGAACCTCAGAATGTGACTCTATTTGAAGCTGAGCCTTTAAAGAAGTGATTAGTGTAAAATGACTGAGGTGCCCTGGGGTGGGTCCTAATCCCACAGGACTGGTGTCCTTACAAGAAGAGATCAGGACACAGACACACGCAGGCGGACGACCACGTGAGGACGCGGGAGAAGACGGCCGTCTCCACGCCGAGCAGAGAGGCCCCGGGTGGAGCCGGCCCTGCCCACCCCTGGACCTGGGACTCCGGCCTCTGGGACTGGGGACAACACGCTTCTGCGGCTCGAGCCCGGCTACGGCCCTGGTGGGGCAGCCTGAGCTGAACAGGTGGTACCCAGGCCAACCCTCCTGCTCTCTCCGCAGGGCTCCCAGGCCTGCTTAGACCCAGACCCAGACCCAGACCCAGACCAGCTGGTGCACAGGGGGCACGACTGGCCCTGAGATCCCACCTCTGAGGCCCTGTCCAGCAGTGGTCACAGCTCCCTGGGGGCATCCCACCTTGTTTTGGAGGCCCTGCCCTTAGAGCCCTTAGAGCAGGAGGGAGCCAGAGGAAACAGGGGAGCCCCCTCTGCACTCAATGGTGAGTGGGTCTGGGAACAGCTCCCCAGAACCCATGAGTCCAGCCAAGGGCCATCCTCTGTGCCTGCCCCAGGGCAGACCTGAGGGGGTCACGGGACCATTGGTGGGCAGCAGACATTCAGCCAGGGTGGACGCCCAACCCCCTGCCTGGGCAGATGCGCTGTGCCCCTGCGGTGAGCAGGCCTGCAGGCTCAGCTCACGGCTCCCGGACCGTCCCTAGCGACAGGACCAGGGACTTGAGAGAAACGGCTGACTCTGTTTCCAGGGGAAGGGACGGCACCAAGAACAAGAGTGGAGGCTCAGGATCACTGAAGTGCCCAGCGCCTGGCCAGGCGAAACGCACAGCGCCTGGAGTCCCGCCCAGAGCAGAGGCCCGCGGAGAGCCGGCTGGACAGGACCGCGGTGGGAGAGACCGCGCCGACCGCCCCCAGCATGATCTGGACGGAGCAGCAGGCGGGGTGCCAGGCAGCCACCCTCAACCTGCGCAGGGGACGTGCAGTGGCGAAGCCCCAGGACAAACTGCCGGACGAGAGAACTAGGCCGCGGCAGAAGCAGCACAGACAGACAAACGGAGGACTCGACGCGCAGAGAAACAGCCTGTGAGCCGCAAGACAGCAGCAGAACCAAACAAAGGGAAACACAGGGACGAAGGCCAAAAAGACAAGACGAGTGCCAGTGGGGGGCGGAGTCGCCCGAGGGCCCGGAAGGGGAGGGAGAAAGGGAAGGACGGGAGAGTACCTAAAGAGAGCGGCTGCAGCCTCCCCAGAGGCGGTGAGAAGCGTAAAGCCAGACCTAAGCGGCTCAGCGAGAACCAGGCGCCGAAACGAACTACGCGAACGCACCCGGGACCAGCACAGCAGGAGGGACGCGGCCGGCGAGGGTCTCGTGGCCGGAGCGCAGCGGACGGGGGGCGAAGCAGCACCTTTAAGGTTCTGGGAATGGTGGGCAACCGAGACCCCACACCAAAACGTCCTCCAAAAACCGAAGCCACGCAGCGCGGAGGGGAACGCACACAGCCCGGCACAGAGCCCCCAGCAGCGCCCGCACAGGCACTCTACAGGCTGATGGGAAGGATGTTGCCAGGCAGCTCCCGCTTCTGCTGGGAAGCAGGCCCGCATGCCTGGCCCCCGACAGAGGGGAAGGCGGCGCTGGGATGGGCTACCAGGGTCCGCGTGCGGGTCAGTCCTGCACAGTGGGTGCTTACCTCGTCCCGATGACGGGCTCGCGGGCGTCCCTGGAGGCCGAGTGGTCCATGCCATAGAGGTTGAGCCCCAGGAGGATCTTGCTCCGCCACCTGGACTTGGGGTCCAGGACCTGGACACAGGCTCGCACCCAGGACAGTGGCGCATTGGGGCCGGGCCTGTGGGGCCAGGGAGGAGTGGGTTTCAGCGGCAGGCAGAGGCTTAGTTCGTCCCCAGTGGGTGCCCCAGTCCGGGGCTGGGGTCAGTGCACACAGTGGGAAGAACAGTGTGATTCCCCCAGTGCCTTCTGGCCAGACTTGGGACCTAATCTGTGCCTGCATCTGCTCACCCAGACCCCCTGCAGAGACCAGAGCGGCCCCAGTGAAGGCCGAGGTGGACTGAGACACTGTCCCCGCCCCAGGATCCCCCGGGGCAGCCACCCTGCCCACAGGAGTCCTTCTCCTCAGCAACAGGGCAGGCCTAGCACCACAGCCACCATGTGGTGGCCAGGGTCGGGGAGGCGTGGACAGACACCCCAGGATGGCATTCCCATGGGGGTCGCTGCTGCCCTATGACCCGTGACCCGAGTGAGCAGGCTGCCCATTGCAGGGCCGACTGTGGGCTCCGGGGAAAAGACCCGGCCCTTCGTGCTCCTGGAGCCACATCCCCTAGGCAGGCCGGCGGGATGTGTTCCAAGTGCCCAGCGTCCAGGCAGAGGGCCAGGCTGGGGCCCCGGGCCCTGCGGCGCCCACACTCACTGCTGCGCTGCGGGGTAGTCGTAGGTCATCAGACTGAAGCCGTCCAGCACGGGGGCCAGCTGCTCAAACTCCTTCTGCGTGAACAGGCCCAGCTGGTCGGTCCTGCGGTGAGGCGGCAAGGTCAGCGCGGCCATCCCGCCTGCCCTGCCAGCTGTCGCCTGGGCTCAGCCCAGCGCACGCCCTGCTCTGGGAGACACCTCCAGGCACATTCCCGGGAAAGTCACTTGGCACTCAGTGATAGCAGATGGCCCCTGGCTGGGTCAGGGACACTCCAGAGCCAGGGCGGGGCTGTGAGGGCCAGCAGAGACACAGCCCCCCCCCCACATCAGAGCACGTGGTCAGTCCAGCTCCGGGCAGCCTACCCCTGCGGTGGGCTCCCCTCATCTCAGCCCCGAGAACGGTGTTGCAGGCAGAGTGCCCTTCATTCCAGGGCCTCAGGCCTGAGGCCGGCAGGAGCCCAGGCGGCCCGTCTGCTGGACACACCTGGTCTGCTAGCCCACCGGCTCGGCCATGTCCCGAGCCAGGGAGGGGCTCTCTGCTTCCCCCACAACATGAACAGAGACAGGACCCCTCCTCTCAGCTGACGCCCCCATCCCTGGGCAGGAGTGGCCCACTGCACGGACCCCAGACATGGTCACTGATTCCACGGGGTCTTGGCCACCCTGCGATACCCCATCTCAAGCCTGCCCAACTCTAGCCGAACAAAGCTGCCCAGGAGAGTCGCCTTCGCTGGGAGCAGCCAGGAGGCCAGGCCCAGACCCCTGGGGACATCAGGCACCCGTGGGACCTGAGGACAAGCAGCACCAACAGTGACCCCACAAGCGGGACAAGGCAGGACTCAGCAATGGGTGCCGGCCACTGCCGGAGCTCGGGAACGCACCTGGGGAGCAGTGACTGACACAATGCCTGTGGCCACACCCCAGACGGGCCCCCTAAAGTCAGCTAGAGACACCAGGCCCTGGCCACCACAAAACAGCAGATGCCATCAGCTCCAGGAAGACGTTTCCACGTTTCGCAAGCCCACCCACCCCCAGGTGGACATTCGCTCAGGAACCCATGAACGTCCAGACCCCACTGTTTCTGGGTTTGATGGCTCACAAGGGAAGACAGGGCTGCGAGCTGAACAGTGCAGAGGGACCCCAGCAGAGGGGTGTGCTCCCAAGTCTTATGCTCTGGTCACTGCAGCAGCCGAGGCCTTCCAGGAGGGATATGGGGCCTGGCACTGTCCCCAGTCAGCTGGGAGGAGGAGCCCACCCCCAGGGTCCTGGAAGTGCTGGGACCAGGTGTGAAAGGGAGGGCTCAGGCAGGCAGAAGGGAGGGGGAAGTGAACCGGGGTGGGGGGGGGACCAGGAGGCCTGCTACCCTGAGGGCCTCACTCACCCCATAAACAGAAACCCTTCTGCTCAAACCCACGCAGCACGGCCAACGGCCTTGCTGTCACTGGCTGATCAGCCTTCAGAACAGATGCTCGAAACAAAGGCCACAGGGGTCAGGCAGACGGAGTTTCCCAGGGCTCTGCCATCCTGGGAGGGGCGCGCCACACGCATGTCACAACTCCTGAGACCCCTCCTCTGCTGGTTTCTGCGCAGCCTCGTCGGAGGCAGACTGCGCTCTGTAACAGCTGCCTGCAGGGCCGGTCCTGGGAGGGAAGCCGGTCCTCCTGCGTCTGAGGTCAGCCCCCCGAGCCCTTTCCTCAGGCGAAGGGGGTCCACATGTTCTGCCCCTGACAGCAGGCCAAGCAGATGACCAGGACCAAACCGTGCCCGCAGGAGCAGGGCTCAAGGTCAGGACAGCACCTGTGCCAGCAGCCACCGCGGGCGGGCCCCAGACACCGGGTGGCAAAGGCGCCCCTGCCCCGGGCCGCACAGACTCCCTCTCGGAGCTGCTGTTCCCACGGGCGGTGGCACAGCCTTCGTGAGATGACTGATGTTGCAGAAAAAGCCAGAAAAACCATTAAGAGTTTATCGTCTTCTCCGTGGGGGCCGCCGGCAAGTATGAGAAGAGAAGGGGGATCAAAGCCAACGATGATGAGACAAACTCCTGGGGCCATCAGAGCCTCTGCTGTAAGCGGGGTCTGCTCGCCAGCTTCAGGGCGCCATCCAGATCCGTGCCCATGAAACCCACCCCCGGCTGCCAGGCTGGGCCCCCCCACCCGTGCTCGGCAGTGCCCAGGACCCCTGCCCTCAGCCTCCGCCACGCTGGCCATGGTCCCTTCCCTCCCGTCATCTGCTTGGATCCACGCGGAGAGAGTCTCTTGCCCTGGTCGTTGCGGGGTGAGGGCCTAGCTCACGCCGCCCGCTCCCTCCCAGGGGCCAGGAGCTCAGGGCGGACCTCTTGGCCGAGAGAGCACCAGCTGGACAGCTGTCCCCTCCTGCCCTCCTCCCCACCGGGCCCAGAGACCAGGCCTGCAGGGGTGTCCGCCCCCACTCCCGCCCTCCCAGTCAGGCCCAGAGACCAAGTCTGCAGGGCCGTCCGCCCACCCACTCCCCAACCTTTGAGGCCGCCCCCGTACCTGTCCCAAGCTGTGAAGCTCTGTGGGACTGATGACTGCACGCAGCAGGGAGGGGCTACAGTGGTCCCGGCTCCAGCTGCATGACCAGGCATCCCCCTTCACCCCTACACAACCCTGAGGAGCTCGCCACCACCATAGCCCCCCTGCATTCATCCCACAGATGGCCTTTGACCTCAAAGGGCAACTGGGGTTCCACTGGCCACAGCTGACCCCAAAGCAGACCAGAAACCAGGAGGCCCTGGAAATGGGAGCCGCACCTGCGGCCAAGCCCACAGGCTGCTTGAGTGTCTTGTCTCCCCTGGCCCTTCCAGAAGGCCAGCTCCTTCCTTACCACCCCTGGAAGCCACAGGCCCCCATCCTGGGAGCCCCCGCTGTTGCCGGTCCTGCACATGTGTGTACTGTACATGAGCACGTGTGTGGCTGAGGGCCCAGGAGGGTGGGGGAGGAGCACAGGACAGGAGGCTGCCACCCAGGGCCCAAGCCCCCGTGTGCTGGGCCTGGAAGACCACAGCCCCGAGTGACGCGCTCAGCCTCGGCCTCTGGTGACATGTGGGGGGCTCTGCGGGGCAAGTGAGCGCCAAGCACAGAAGAGCAGCTGGCCAGGAAGCGAAGCCAGCATACCTGCCGCAGCAGCGTGGCCCACGGGCTCTTTCGTGTGAGGCCACTGGCCTGTAAGCGTCCAGCCACCAGATACTGTTCAACCTGATCCCATTAACTGGCCCTGCTCGAGTGAGCCGATGGCCATGGGGTGACAAGACAGTGTCTCCCCCCAGAGCAGGGGGCTGCGGGTGCAGGCAGCACCCTAGGGCCTCTGTGTGCCCCCCGCCTGCCAGTGCCCCACCCTGGGCCCCCCGTCTGCCCTCAGTCCTCACGCCGTGGTCCAGCCTCCTATGCCCAACACAGGGTGGACAGGGGAGTCAGAATGCGCGGCTCCAACAACCGGTGCCAGGTGCCCCACCCCCCACCCCAGGGGGTCTGGAGGAGCCGCCTCACATGGCTGGGGAAGGCAAGCAGCCAGGCCAAGTGGTGGGAGCCATGACCACACAGCTCTGACCCCCCAAGGCCTCAAGCGTCCTGGTGGAGGGACTCAGCCTTGACCTGCTGAGCCGTGAGGACCTGCCAAGTCCACTCAGGTGTCCCGAGTGCACCGGCTCGGGTCCCAAGACCCTCCCTGGGCCAACACGTGCAGTGGCCCCGGGGGAATCTGGACGGGGCTGGGTGGTGACCAGGAAGAGCCTCTCTGCCCGAGCCTGCAGGGCACTCACCCGGGGCTGACGGCAGGCGGGATGACCAGGATGGCCAGAAGCCTGGCCTGGTGCAGCGCCTCGGCCACATGGGTCAGCATGTGAATGAGGCCCCTGCAAAGAACGAAGAAAAGGTCAGGAGTGGCTTGGCCGAGACGCACTTGGGCAGGCGCCCCTTCACAGCCCTTCCTGCCCGGGAGGCGCAGGCTCTGGGTTGGCCCCACTCGAGCACCAGGGCAGCCCTGGACCTTGGGGGCCGCCCTCTACCCTAGCCAGCCTGCCCCGGCCCCGCCCCTCCTCACACTCAGGGTCCCTCTAAGAGCAGCAGGGGTCCGTGCAGCGCCCCATCACCTCTGGACCCTCCCAGAGCAGAGCCAGGCAGGGATGAGGAGGGATCCCTGTGGACCAAGTGCACTGGCCTGCCGGGGGCTGAGTCAGCCAGGCGGTGTGACACTGGAGGTGCCTCGGTATGAGAGGGGCATGGGGGCTGCTCCACCAAGGTGGCCTTGTGCTGACGGGACCCTAACCTCACCCCCAGGACGACTGCCTCACCTGTCCAGCCCCCCAGCTCAGATGCCAGGACACGGAGCTCTGCCTGCTTGACCCCAGGCAGGGGCGTGAGGAGGGAGCCCTGGCACATCGTGTGCCCAGACATAGGGGAGGAGCGTCCCTGTGGGCAGTGGGCCACCAGTGAGGGGACAGGGAGGGAGACGGCATCAGACTCCTCTGGCCCCTTGGCCTGTGGGAGGTGGCGGCAGGCCCAGTAGGAGCCCCTGTCAGGACGCCACTGGCAATACGTGGGCTGTGGAGGGGCTGGTGCTGATGAGCCTCAGCCCTGCAGGTCCCAGGCTGGCTCTGAGCTGTGTGTGTCCACTCTAGCCTGGCCCCTCCATCACTGCTGGGAGGCCCTGGGCCCAGTGGCTGACCCTCAGGAGCCACCTCCCTCTGGAGAAGAGGCGGCCAGTCCCACCCCCTCATGCGCAGGCGGGTCAGAGCGGCTGAGGGGCCGAACGTACGTGCAGCACCTCCCAGGTGGGCTGACGCAGAGCCCGTGGGCCTGGGCACGAGTCTTGTCCCAGAGGACTCCGCTGCTGTCTGCCGTGGCCCTGCAAGGCCACCTCTTCTCAAAGTCCCCAGGAAGGCTCCGTCATGCCACCCACCCAGCTAGACACCCCCCACAGCTGCTCCAGGGGTTCACGGAGCCACTCGCTGACTTTCTTGGAGTTCTCTCCCCACCCATGGGTGCAGACGTGGGAATAAGGCCCTCCTCTCAAACGGGCCACCGAACCCTCCTCTAGCCTCTTCCTGCCACCTGGGAGCCAGGAAGGGCGGAGGGCAGCCCGCCCGTCAGCCACCCAGAGCCCACTCACATGTGCTTCTGGCTCAGCAGCTGGCTCCAGACCTCCACCACGAAGCCGTCGAAGTGCTGGCTCTGAAAGGAGAGGGCACAGGTAAGAAGAGTCCCGGCAGCGCAGAGGGGCTGGGCTCCCACACACCCCATCCGCTAGCATGTCCCAGGGGGCACTCTCCTCCCTGCAGCCCAGCACCAGCGAGCTAGGGTGGGCACCCTCCCAGGAGGGTGGCAGACGGCTCACCCAGGGAAGGCCCTGCCCTAGAGACTCCCGTGGTCACAAAGGAGCCTGGAGCAGCCTGTGCCGGACCTGCCAGCGCCGGGCGTCACCTTGGCCACCTGCACGATGCTCCTGCCAAGCTCTTCTATCTCATCCTCGCTGTCCAGGGTGTCCCGGAAGTCCTCGGGAGTCCAGTCCTCAAACAGCAGCCGAGGCACTGGGAACAGAGCGGCCCAGAGGTAACCCTCCTGGGCTCGGCCCTGCCCACAGCGTGGCCCTGCGCCTCCAGGGCACAGTGACCACAGCTGAGCACCCAGTGTGGTCCTCCCAGTGCCACGTGGCCTGGCAAGGGAGAGCACTGGGGGGCGCTGGGAGAGGACAGACACTGACCCTTTGTTTCCTGCACATGCCAGGCCTCCGAGTGCCCAGACCCTGCTCCTCCAGCTCCCCCTCAACGCTCCCTGCGGGCCCCCTCCCAGCTCCTCCTGCTCAACGGTTACATGCTCCCCAGAGCCCCTCTCCCCTCTCCGCAGTCACACATTCAACAGCCCTGTGCGACGGGCCCCTCTCTCACCAGCCATTGGCTCCAGGAAGGGGCTGGGCAGGGTGAGCGTCAGCCCCAGTAAGTGCTCGTGGGTGAGTGAGGAGATGGGAGGGCAAAGGCCACGGGGAGAGGCCCCCAGGGCTCCAGCTGGCCTGAGGGCCATGCATGCTGGCTCGGGCTGGCCACGTTTCTGAGCGGTTGGGAGTGACCCCCGTGAGAGGCAGCACAGCCTGGGTCACAGGCCCATGGGGAGGCCCAGGCCCCCTAGCCCGTACTGCACGGCCTAGAGGCCGAGGACCCCGACCACCCGGGCCCACCGGACTCACCGATGTGTAAGCCCCTGCTCTGCTTCCTGACGGCCCGCAGCCACCCTGCGGGACGTGGAGAGGACAGTCAACATGGGGACACAGCCCCTCGCCTGTGTGATGACCCAGCCTGCTCCCGAGGAGAAAATGCGGCCCCTCCGCCTCTGCTACGGGAGCACAGCAGGGGGGCGGCAGGAGAGAACATGCGCCCCCCCTCCACAGAGCAGCTGGGACCAGTGGACCAGCGGCCGCCCCAGGTGCCATGACTCCGCAGGGCCTGAGACTGTTCTGAGCTGAGGGCGTCGGAGGCCGGGCCCTGCGACGCCCAGCCGTGTCCTCTGACACATGGCCCATCAGCATCAGAACCCACCCCAGATCCGGGAACTCGACAACCAACTAACACACTCTCTCTCTGAACCCCCAAGGGGGCACATCTGTGTCAACTCGGGTGCATGCCCCCAAACATGGCTGTCAGGACACCCAGGCCTCACCTTCTCCTGGACACTCTGTCCCAGAACCTCCCCCCAGACGCCTCTGCCCTGGACACCCAGCCCTGACACCACCTCCTTGGACACCGTGTACAAACCACCAAGGGAAACGGGTGCGGGTCAAGGTGGGCAGTGACCACACTCACACACACTCAGACACGCTCACACACCTTCCCCCCACCCCACGTCCACTCACACCCCCCTGGGCCCTCGGGACGAGTGCGAGCAAGCAGCAGGGTGAGAACCTTGGTCCACGCCGTCAAGGCCCGTGACCTCGAACATTTCGCGGCCGCGCCTCCGCAGCTGCAGCCACACAGGGGAGATCTGGGTGAATTTGCCCCCGAAGATCTTGGCGACATCGTAGCCATGGCTGTTCCACTGGCAGAGGGCAGAGAGTGGTCAGCCCGTCTGCAGCTGGGGCCAGAGGGCCTGAGAGCCGCCCCTGGGCTGGGGCACCATGGGGTCGCCCTGCCATGTAGACCGAGACCCTGGGGCAATTCTGGCTACTCCTCTGGGCAGCATCGCTCCCACTGCACCCCTCCCCCGGATGGCCTGGGGAGGTGAGGACACAGACCCAGTGGCCACCTTGCCCTTGGTACCACCCTGCCCACCTCAGGGCCCAGCTTACTGGAGTGACGTAGCCCAGGACCTCCCCAGCAAAGTGCCTCCTCCGGGCTTTGGCCGAACAGTAGCTGCGATGCTCAAGAACCACGTCCTCAGCTCTGAGGTCGGTCACCACCAGCCCCCGCTCCTGGACCGGCTTATCTGAAAACTGAGTCTAAAGCACGAGGAACAGGGAGAAAACTGTCGGCATCCAGCCCCAGGCAGAGGCCCAGGGACGGCAGCCGGCCCCTCAGTCAGCAGGGACTGTGTCCTGGGATCAACACGGAGCTGCTGACTGCGAGCCCACAGGGAGAGGCCCACATGTGAGGAGCTGACAGTCCCCGAAGACCCACTCTGCCTCCCTGGGGCCGTCCCCGGAAAACAGCACAAAGACACAGCCTAGCCTGGCGTGGCTCCTGTCCGATTTGCTCGACTGCCTCGAACACTACAGCTCAATGAAGCAGGAAAGGGCGCAGGTGGGGAGAGACACAGAAGGCAGGGTAGGAGCGGAAATGTGGACACAGCCATAGGAGACAGCCCGGTGGGGCAGGCGCACCCTTAGGCCCCAGCCCCAGGAGCTGCTGCCCCTAAGGCCCCTGCAGAGCCCCGGGCGGCACAGAGCTGGCTGCCCACAGTGGCCAAGCGCCCAGCTCTCAGCTCCCAGGCCACATCACAGGCCCTGGTGGGCAAGAAGGCACAATGGGGCAGCCCTTCGGCCAGCCCCCGGACCATCCCTACCTTCTCCAGCAGTGTCTTCGAGGCAGCCTTTTTGGCATCTGACTTTGACAGGGTGGTGTGCACAGAGCCACAGGCCAGGGCCAGCCAGAGTGTGCTGAGCAGCGCCCACATGCTGGGGGTGTCAGAGCAGGCTCCAATGTCGGAGTCCTGGGGGCTGCAGAGAGAGCAGAGGATATGAAGTCCACCAGCAGACGGGGTGTCCCCTCTGCCTCCTGGAGCACGTGTCCTAATGGAGCCTGGGTCCTCCCAGACACCCAGAAAGAGCCCGCTGTGCGGCAGGCCAGAGGGCCCTCCCCCACTGCCTCAGGGCCACCCGAACTTTGGCCCCCAATTAGCAAAACATAGGCTCCCCACCTCCTCAAACCCAAGAAATGTGGCTACCAGCTACCAGCTTCAGTGCAAAATAACAGAGCCACGGAAAGGACTTGAAGAGAACATGGTTACCGGTGCGTTTAAATGTGGGGGTGGGGGCGGGTTTTTCACCTGTGTCGGCCACAGTGTAGCTTACAAAGCAAAGCGTTAGAAGAGTTTACTACTTAAAACTGAGAGACTTTCCCTTAGGAAGCAAGACGTTGATTGGAACAAATAAACAAAACAGGAAAACACTTACAACGTACTTGACAGTAAGCTTCTATCTGCCTTGTACCTGTAACACGCAAAGGACTCTTAAAAACTGATTACAAAAGACACTCCAGTAAGAAACACCCCACTGCAGAAATAAGGAAGAGTCGTGAAGAGGTGTAGGACAGAAACCCCGTGACTCGCCCATGCCTCATCACAGACACCCCGAGCCCCAGAGAGAGCACCTGGCTTCCAGCGATCACAGGAACGGACACTGACGGGAGACGGTGTGTCCGCCCAGCACTGGCGAGGACGCTGCCTCGAGGACCCAGGGCAGCAATAACTCTCACAGCTGTCCCTGGGAATTCAAGCTGATGACACTTTTGCCAGTGACAACCTGATAGTGAATATTACACTCTCCGATGCGTGTTTCCACTTGTTTGCAAATTCCACTATGGGGGCTGTCACGCCTATTAGACCCCGCACGAGGCCCCCACAGAGAGAGGGACGGATGGACAGACGGACGGGGGAAGTAAACAAGCAGGCCCTCTGGACCGCTGGCTGCTCTGTCTTCCCTTTGGCTTTGTCTGCTTCCTGGCATTCCCGTGCGGGACGTTCTTTGGCTGGCAGGGCATTTCACGGTCCGGGGCCCCACCTCTCCCCCGTGATCCTGCCTCCTTGTCTTTCTCTCTTGGGGCAGCTGAGCAAAGAGTCGGCTCAGGCGGGCCGTGGTCCCTGATGAGGCTTGAAGACACGCAGATAAGGCTTGGACTTTTATTTTCAGTTTATAAGACAAGCCTGTCGGTCAATGATCTCATTGTCCCAGCAGCATGCTCCCCCTCAGCCCAGCCAAGGGGTCGCTGGTCCAGAGGAGACCCTGGACCCCTACGCTACTAGGAGTTGGAGGCTGACCCAGCCCCCTGCCCAGGGGCGGGCACCCTGGGGACCCTCCTGGGCACCTGTCCCTCCACCACAACCACTTCCTGGCCAGAAGCTTGTTTTCTCAGCCTGCCTCTCTGCGCAGAGCAGCACATGCCCCTGCTTGGAGCTGTCGCCCCCACCCTCCCCACCCCTGTGAGATGGGCGCTCCTGGTGCAGACTGCCCCGGGCAGCAAGTTTCCACACTGGGGCACCTGATACACCCACTGCATACCTGCGTGGGGCCTTGGGAGAATGGGGCCCTGGGGCTCCCTCCCCAAAAACAAGGAGGCACAATGGCAGGACCAGATACCTCCAAAGGGGTGTGGGGGATATGAGGACGCAGGCCAAGTGTGCCCTCCCTGCCAGCCCCTCTCCCTGGTAACACTGCCCAGCGTCAGATTCACCCAGAACAGCAGCCTCTGCCACCCCAGGCCAACCCTGGCATCTCACCACCACAGTTGTGGGACCTGAGCTCCTTGGCCACAGCCCAGGGCTCGGAAGGGCCCTGTGGGAGAGGGACACTGGACATGGCAGGGATGGGCGGCCCAGAATCACCCAGCACTCCCTCGGCCAGTCTGAGACTGTGGCTACTAAGCTGTGAGGACCAACCCCAAGCAGCCTGGCCACCACAAGGCCGGAAAAACACCTAGGCAAACATGCTTCTGGAGTGAGGGCTCACATGAGTGGCTGCAGAGCTGACACGCCGGGCACCAGAGGGACACCTGCCCCTGCCAGGGGTGGGGCCTACTCTGCCAGGACCCCATCTTCAACCCCGGCCCCCTCGGGCCTCTCTGTGGTTGCTGGCTCCGCTCCGGCTCCAGGGTGGAGGTCTGGGTCACTGAGGATGGAAAGGGATGAGAAATCAAGCAGGAGCTGGCCCTCTTGAAGCCGTCCAGCAGGGATTTGGGGGTGCTCCCAGAGAGCCCTCTGCCTGACCCCTGACCTGTGATTTCACAGCACAGGAAAGAACAAAGAGGAAAGGGTGGTGATGGGACTGCTCTGGAGGAAGGGAGGCAGGCCTCCCGCTGGCTCCCCTGCCCTGTGGAAGGGCAACGGGAGAAGCGGACCAAGTGCGAGGCCTGGGCTGGCACTGCCCTGAGTGCCCAAAAACAGTGGGCCAGCCCTAGGGCGCAGCTCGGCAGCATCAGGGGGAGTGCTGGGCTGCTCCTGGAACGGCCATGGAACTTTCTAGACCTACTGTCTGCACCTCAGTGGCAGGGACATGTCAGCTGTGCTGTGCGGGTGCTTAGGCCATGACAAGGCCCCACCCGGGTGGCTCCCAGGACCCCCCACTGTGCATTTTGGTGAGGTGTCTGCTGGCCCCTCCACCCTGAGGCCTGAGGGCAAACTCTCCATCAAGCTCTTCAAAGAGCCGACTTCTGGGCTCACACACTGTTTCTGCCCAAAACGTGTTCCTTCCCTGCACACTAGTAACTCTTTGGGCAGAGCGGCCTCTGCAGTGTGGTGTGCAGTGGCTGGTTCACACTCATGGTCACACGGGGGGGTCATCACAAACACAGACCAGAGGGCCCTTGGAGGTGGGGTCTCAGACCTGCTGCCTGACTCGCTAGTGACCAAAAGCCCCGCTTCCCCAGGGCTCCAAGGTTTTGGGAGGATGCTTCAGCAGTGTCGGCTGAAGCACGGCAAAACGCCTTTCATCAAGACCCACGGTAAGAAAAAGTTTGTGGTAACCAGGTATGCACACGCATGTTGTGGGTGTGCACGTGTGTCATATGTATGCATAGACTGAGAGGAGATGATCAGAGCTAACCCTGCTGAGACGTACTCTGACATTTTCTACTTCATCTTTAATAAGCTGGTTTTTATCCATCGTATCTGTTTCACTCCTCAGTGACATGCAATTTAAGAGACGCTGCTGGACACGCCTGGGTGTGCGTCACCCACACCTGGTGGGACCCCTGAGCCAAGTGCCTCATGAACAGAATGCTCCCGTTCCCACAGCACGTGCTATTCTCACCTGTGAGCACAAATTTTGGAGCCCACTGTGCTCCCGCCGGGAGAGGCGAGGTGGGAAGAGAAGAGAGTGAAAGAGGTGGGACGACCACAGCCTGGCTGACTTTATCAGCCCCGTGCTGCGTTAACCGCGGGTCTGTTCAGACCCCGGGAGCAGGCACTGCGTCGTTCCCTCCACAAATGAGGCCGAGGAAGCCGCCCCGAGGCAGCCCTGGTGGGCGGTGAGCGGCCGCCGGGCGACCCCAGCTCCACAGGCGGCGGAAGCGAGATGGGATGGAGGTCGGGGTCGGCCGCCCAACCGCGGTCCCCCGACTGCTGCGGGCTCATGCCTAGGAGCCCCTCCCCAGTGTGGAAGATCTGCAGCCTTCAGCGTCTGGGACTGAGGCGAAGAGGGAGTCAGCCTAGCGCGCCCCAAAGCGCATCGGGGTCACCCGCCC